GGCCTACTCCACTAGATAAATTAAAAACTTTAACTTATCTGCACAAGCCCGACGGATCTGGCTCATTGATGTCAAAGTCGATCGTGTCTGCTGTGCTGGGCTCATCAGGGTGGTCTCTCAATATGTCCAACTCTTCATCTTCAGCTGCCAGAGGGATATCTACAGGCAAGTCCAGCTCCTCTTCATCGGATTCGTCGAGTGACACTTCAGTGACGTTGTCACAGGATTTTCCATTGCAGTATGCACAAATCATTGAACATTTTAATCCTGTTTTTCTGCATCCGCAGGCTTTACCATAGTTGTTGGTTTTGCATTTACAGGATAAAAATGCCAATAGGGATTTTGGAGCTGGATCTTTCAACGTTGTGACTGGAGTAATGCCTGTTTTTGTTTTCTTCCAGCCCCATTCTTCGGCATCTTTGTTACAACCAGACCAATGCTGAACCTGGTGGTAAGTTCGCAATGAATGCCATCCAGCACGACAATTAATTATTTATAAATTAATGATCGAATTAATGATACGCCACTGTTTTATGACAAAATTGAAGAAACCAAACTAAAACTAGTTTTAGTCAACCCTAATCGACATTTGATTTCGGAAAATCGACTATACATAATATATCATATTGTTACGTTTTTCGTCGGTTCCGTATGGATAGAAAGTCACAATTTATTTAAACACTATTTATTTAACACTAATTAACAAAAACAATAACGATAAAAGACTTATAGAACTATTTACAAACGATTTATAACTAAGAATTTATTTTGAATTTTAGCGCGTCAACTGCACTCGTATATTTATAACTGTCCTCTCTAGGCCACAGCCGCCGGCTTTTATACCTACAGGACCTACAGCTAAGAAATCTAGAATAGTCCATAGATCTTTAGGTGCATAGAGAAGGTTTCGAATGTTCTCGTATGTACTACTCCATTCCAGTGGGACTCGATACTTGTCGAATCTTCGAATGAATCATTACGGTGTCTATGCGATGTTAAGGTCATCCGAGGGCGGGCCATATTGTTAGGTTAGGTCGAGTCCACACCGGTCCGCAACACTGCCCCCTTCTTAGGTACATGCTCGTCCCGAGATGTACACGGTGAATGAAGGTATTTGCAAAGCTGGCCCCTGGTATATTGCGAAGTCTGGTAGAAATAGCAGTATACAATTTTCTCTCCCGATCTCAGCTTTGGGTTGTAGCAGCAAACAAGGATCTCGATTCCCGTAAATCTGAACAAGACTTCAATCATGTTCCGGATTGTACGCCAACTCAAATCATCGAGTCCACATACCAGCTTCGGAATGGCTAATCGTGTAATGTTGTTGTTTAGCAAGGCTTCTCTGAGTTCAATCAGGGCCTTCCATAGATTTAGATAAGTCGGCTTACTCGGCAACCATTCCTTAGTGACCAGGTAGAAGATGTGTCTTGCTTGACCATGTGCATTGTCGGTTAGCCTCAAGACGCTTCCAACCTCTCTCCCAAACTTCTCATTGAACGTCGCAGCGATTCCTCTGGACATCCGCAAATCTCGGGCCACACAATGAGCGAGCGAATAATCAGGAGGCACGGGAAAGAGGTCTCGTTGATCTTCTTTGGTTACACCATAGCGAGCCTTCTCACTACAGTTGTATCGGGCCATGAAATCGTCAAAGGACATCTCCGAATCAGGGGGATCAAAGCTGCAGGTTCTCACGGTCCCAGCACGATCTTCTATTTCGCCTTGGTAGGGGCTCAAACGGTTGAAATGGACTACCCTCGGTTTTCCTTTTGGCAATTTTCTGATACGGTATACGACGTCATTAATCCTATCCATGACTTCGTATGGCCCTTCCCACGAGGATTGTAGCTTCGGAGATAACCCACGACGTCTCTGCGGGTTGTATAGCCACACCAAATACGTTGTAAATTTAAACGTATTTGAGCCACACCAACTTGGCAAGATGGCGGCGCCGGCGGCAAGTCTGGAAATGTGCATTTTATGCATTTTAGTTAGAGACCCCAAAACCTATTAACCTGCAAAGTTTCAAAACTTCCGGACTTTTTTCCAAGCAGGTCCCTTTTTTGATCCCCAATGACTGAACTAACTGGTAGGAACTGTCATATATATAAGTTTATTAAATAGAATATCGGACGATGAAGACGTTGTTAAAGTTCGACGACGTTGTTCTGCAGCTTTAATATTTCTCGTGCAATTATCATAGCCATCAAATACGACGTGGAAACGTGTGTATATAAGACGATTACACCTCTTTGACTCGTTATATCTCCGAAACTAAGGCTCTAAGGAAAAACAGTATTCATACATTTTTTATAGAGAATTTTATGGTCTATAATTCTTTTCTGAGGTAATTTTATGATAAAACTTGAAAATCGCGAAACTCAATTTTTCTCGAGATTTTTGACCTTTGGCCTCGCATAATTTTTTTCCATGCATCGGAATTTTAAAATGTTATTTTTAATTATGTTTTAAACAATTACACGCACTTTCAGCTTGTTGTAAATTTATGTATCTTTACTCTTAATATTTTTTGGTCTAATTTGACCGGATTATGACCAAAAAGTATTATTATCAAGCAGTTTAGCTTTATACCTATACACACTATATTCGATACCAATCAAACTTTTAGTTACGTAATCGAGGGCGCGATTTTTAAATTCATTGATGCCAACCATGGACATATTCGGCGCCGGGCTGACTAACTGGAATTTAAATTTCCCGCTGTATGGGGATTCAAGTGGCAGCTCTGCTGTAAAAAATCTCAAGTTGCCACATTTATTTATTTATTTCCTGACATCGTCATTGATTTTGACATTTTTGTTTTGTATTACGAGTTTTTGGTTTAAATGAATTGTGTTGTGATACTTTAAGCTTAAATTTTTTTACTACCAGATCTTGCAGTCGAACATTGTCCTTTTTAGAACCTCTTTTAGTGCGAAGTGGGTATAAGATAAAGTTAGTTAGATAATTTTAGAATATGTTGACCGGGAAAGCGGTAGTAATGGCCCTTTATGTCCCTTAAGTGGTGTTAAGGAGATGAGTTTTGTTGATGTAAATAATAACTATTTATATATTTATAATTAATTTATTTTTGTTTCCTAAAATTATTTCATTAAAAGAAAATATGTAAAAGTGTGTATACCGGGTGCGTCACAAAAGTGGCTCACCTCTATATAACTTTTTTATTTTTTCAGATAAAAAAACGAGATTTGGTATGTTAGTTATTTGGTAAATTAGGATTGATTGACGTATTCAATTGTTTTTGGTCACTTCCTGTTTTACCGAAAATGACTACAACTTTTGATTTTTAAATGGCACCCTCGGTATTTTTTTGCCTTATTCGATCAAAATAAAAACACTAAATCACCACAATACACCAAAACACTTTTACTTTTACACTGGACGCGCGTTTCGCTAACCATGTTAGCATCATCAGCAGATGATTATAAACTGGCAGTTTATAATCATCTGCTAACATGGTTAGCGAAACGCGCGTCCAGTGTAAAAGTAAAAGTGTTTTGGTGTATTGTGGTGATTTAGTGTTTTTATTTTGCTGTGTAACACCAAAGGTTCCAACCCTCAACTGTAATCTTATTCGATAGAAAATGACATTTTGAATAGAATGACACATCATATATCAACTTTTGACATTCTCGCTTAATAAAAAATTGTATTTTAAAATTCAATCTAGAGTGCCATGGCTATATGTAAAAAACACTAATCCTTAATCAAGGAGCCTTGGAAAAATAGATTTGATCGTCTAATGCTTTTAGTGTCTTACCCTGGCCAGTTAGAAAATACTCAAATCGTATTTTTAATCATATCTCAATTTTTTCAAATGGAACGAGGGTGGCTCATTAGCATATTTGGAAAAAGCATTTTTTACGAATAATTTGATACCACACACTGGGTTCGACAACACACACTTCGAGTTAAATTTTCGTAACGAACCGCAAATTGCAGTGTATTCAGAGTGTTATTTTCTATCAAATAAAGTAAAAAAATACCGAGGGTGCCATTTAAAAATCAAAATTTGTAGTCATTTCCGGTGAAACAGAAAGTGACCGAAAACAATTGAATACGTCAATCAATCCTAATTTATGTCATATACTAACATACCAAATCTCGTTTTTTTAACTGAAAAAATAAAAAAGTTATAGGGGTGAGCCACTTTTGAGACGCACCCGGTATATATGTTAAGTTATTGTGTGCTACTTGCTGTGTCGGTATGGCAGCAGGTCAAGTTTAATCACAAGACTAAAAGTGACTAAAAATTAAATATACCCACAGATATACCTATAAAGTTTGATGACGATGTGATTTGAGTTTTTGTTTCTTTATATAGTGTTTTGTTCTTATATTTTGTTTATGCTTGGGCTTTTTTCTTTTTTTTTGTTCATCTGTACTTGGTATCTGATGGATTGTATCATTCACCTTTCAGTGCTTTTTTTACTCCTGTTAATTTTTAAGATTTAATTTTTAAGATTTAATTTAAATTGAATGTATTTTTTTTTCATTTATTGTTTATTTAGAGGTTAATTTACTACTAATTTATAGCTATATACATATTGTAACTGTTGGGCAATAAAGATTTATTATTATTATTATTATTATTATGACCACTGATTTACCAAAGTTTAATAAATTTATTTTTAAAAAACACAACACTTTTAATGTTAAGTTATTTCAAGAAAAAATTTCAGCCATGTTTCAAAAATATTATCTGCTACTTTAGCATTCAATATAGATACGAGTATTAGAATTTACTCAGATTTATAAAATAATTTAATATTTCAATTAGTTATTATGTGATAGTATTCAAGAATCATTGCAATTCTGAACAAGTTTCCATTAAAATGACTAGATACATAAACAACTAAAAATACGTATTGGACCTTGCTCCGGTATTGGATTTTTCATTTGCATAAATTTTCACATAATGCACAGCACAACTTTGAACTTATGACTAACGGGACCACAAAAATAAAACAAACATATTATATTCAAAACGATATACCTCTTGTTTATTAAATATCTTTTTTCGATTGCATTTTTTATATACAAATATATTACAAAATTCAAAAATAAATAACCACATTAACATCACAGATAGATAATATCTTTTATACTAGTTACATTCCAAAAAAATTCGATCCACATCTTAACAAATTTCGATATTCATTCAAATACAAAAACAACCTATACGCATACTTTCGGTAGATCATTTTCTCTACAAAGTAAATACAAAAAAGTAAACTTTAAACAACACTATATACAAATTGGAATGTGCCCCACAAAGAAAACGAAGAATTTTTAACATTAAGAAAATAAAAAATCAGTCAAAAAGAAATGAAACATATTATACTACAGTGACAAAATAATAATGCTGATATATATATATATCACTTTAAAACATAATAAAATTATTTTTTAATTAGGTACCCATTAGGTAGGCGCGTTTTTAACATTTTTTGAGCATCTTATTTTTCACGGTAGTATAATCAAAATTAAAGCTAGGTCAGTAACGGTGCCTTAACTATTTGTATTATTTCTTAGCCTAATTGTAATAATACGAGTGATTCGTTTTTTTTCTTTAAACAATTTGAAATTGTCAATGGCAGAGGTCTAGTATAGTCTGCCCAACGAGAGGATTCATGACAGTTGTGTCTGTCATTTTAATTCACCGGTAAATTGTAATATCTGTCATTCTTTGGATATTGTCTGTCGAAATCTTCCTTGACTCGTTAAGACAGACTATAGAAGGGTTTTTATTTTTTAAATCTAAACAGGTTCTTTAAAGCGTGTAAATATGTAGAATATAAATTGATTGCAAAGTTGACTACGGTTTACTTAACAAATACAGGGTGTTCCTTAATGACGTGTCTATATATGTAAGGAGATGATTTTTGAATTCATTTTTACCACTTTGTAGAAGTAAAATTTGCAGTATAAAAATGTTTAGAAGTAAAATTTTCTAAAACACTTTTTTTCTAATTACTGTGTTTTTATTATACAGGGCGAGTGTTAAATAAGCGCAAATATTTTTAGGGATAGTATATTTCGACCGCAGAAACAGTTTTTTTCGCAAAAAATCGAAAAATATTGAATTTTTTTTAAAAAACGGGGCATTTTCAAAATAATTTTTTGAAAAAATCACTAGAATTTTTTTATTTTAATTTTTTGTCAAAAAAATATAATTTCTTGATAATATGGCAAATAAATTAAATTTATAAGAAAAAAAACCCAGAAAAGATCAAGTGGTTCTCCAAATTTAAGCCAAAAAACATTTTTTTTATTTTCAAAGTAAAATAACTCGGTTATTTTGGACTTACTTGAGAAACGGTAAAGAGAACCCTTGTTTTTTTTATCGGGATCTACCAGCCCTGAAAATATTTGCACTTATTTAAGACTCGTCTTGTATAATATATCTTATTTTTGATGTACAATTTTATTTATTTTAATCAGTGGCATCCAGTGTCTTACATTAAAATAAACATTAATTTCAAAATCTCCATTCATTTCAAAAAAACTAATCAAATTTTCATTCCCTGACAAAAACTATGCGTCGTTTTTGCTTTAAAAAATTAAATTAATTTTACTTCAGGGTCAAATCGCTAAAAATCTGATGCGGTGATTGTTTGGAAATAGTTTCTGGATGAAATTTAAGATACAACAAACATTTTTTTTGTACTTCAAATAATTAGTTTTTATGCATTATAAGACATATCAAATCTTGCAAGTTTTTTTTTCAGAAATGGGCCTACATTATGCAGTTTTTTTCTGAAAATAAATCCAAGAATCAACCCTTTAAATTTTAGCATATCCTTAACACCCTGTATACTAATGATAAATGATTATGAAGTAACCTATACCTGCACAAAAATTTAGACCTTTACCCTTCTCAAATTCTTTTTATAAACCACTGACATATTCCTTACTTTGTACTCGGAGAAGTTCAAGTATTTATCTTTTTATACACTATCAAGCATTCTTGGTTTTAAAACGTGACAATTCCCGTAGAGGGAGCTGGTTGGATCTTCCTCAAAATCGGAACGATCCCTATTTTAGCCCCTGCCCCTATCCTGTCCTTGGCGTGCCTTTTAACGTGCTTCGCCAAATGATCGGACCTCATAAACCTCCTTTGACACACGTCACATTTGAACTTCTTCTCGCCCGTGTGAGTGCGCTTGTGTCGCGACAATTCGTCGGACCGCGAAAATCGCCGACCGCAATCCTCCCATTGGCAAACAAACGGCTTTTCCCCTGTGTGCGTTCTATTGTGCGCCTTCAAATGCGACGATTTAAAGTAATTTTTGCCACAACCTTCATAAGTGCACTCGTAGATGCGTCTTCTTTGGGGTTGTGGAGGGGGCGGTGCGAGTAGAACTAACTGGGTAGGAACCATGGTACCGTCACGTGATAAGAAAAAGGTTTGTGGTTGATTGGTGGTAAGTACTTTCGGTGCCAAGGTCGGGAGGACTGGTACAGCTGGGATCTTCTGAATTGTCTTCTCTTCTCTGCTGGTAACCTTTTCGCTGGCCTTGACTTGTTCTTTTCTGATACCCATCTTGAACTTGATACTCTTCAAGACGTTAACTTCCTCACCAGGCCACTTGGGAAGTGGTAAGGAAGTGCAAGAACCATCCTGATTTGCTCTAGTGATAACGGATACAGTCCTTTGAGGCGTTGCTCGCTTGTTGATTTGAGCAACTGGTTCTGGAGGTGGGGTCACTACGCCACGTGGTTCGCCTACTTCGTTGGTGATGAGTATCTGTGGTACAGGTGTTGTTTCGGGTGGTGGGGTGCTTATTTGTGGAGGAGGTGTGACGGTGGCTTGCACGAACCTGGCGAATTCATGGTCGTTCCTGATATGGCGTTTTTTGAGGGGAAAGTCGTGTTCTTCGCTTTCCGAATCGGAAGGTTGAGGCGTTGGGGGAAACGCAGTGGAGGCGGGTCGCTTTTGGCCCAGAAACTGACGTAAATGGTCGATGGTTGACGTCTGGATGGACTCATCATCGGATGAAACCTGTAACAAAAATATATTTCTTTTAATACTTAATAAGTTAGCTGAAACTTGTATTATGAATTTGTTCTACTACGGTCTGTCATGTCATCGATGTTCATTTCCAAGTTAACTGGACGCCAGGTTTTTTTTCGATCATTCGGTATTATATACTATTTATTGTATGTTATAGGATTATTAAATCGGAATTAAAATATGCTCTAAAATTATTAAATTGGCATTAAGAAGTCTTTAATAAATACCGTATGAACAAAATAATCGGCGTCAGCGATTGCTATGAAATGAACATCGCTGTTATTTTATATGTAAAATTATATGGGGAATGTAATTCATTGTCTTTTCCAAGCTAACTGGACGCTATGCTATGTTGTACGCCTCACGTGGGGCCACGCATATATTGCATGAAAAAAAAACAGTTTTTTTCATTTAATATAAACCATATTTTTTACTGAAAACAAAGTCAGAAAGCAAAAAATCCATTTTCTGAACAAACTAAACTTAATTATTTTTCTTATTTTTCATTACAATCTTCCTGTGTCTATAGATAAAAAAATAAGTGTGTCAAGGTAAAAATAAAGTTATAAACAACCAATCGTACAAAATATGATCTAAAAACTGATTATTTGCTGAAGGTAAATAAAAACAATTAAACCCTTTCGTGGGTTCATGTTAAATGAAAAATTAATTCCAGTAAATATTAACGGCGACGTAAACAAGCTATAATATTTATTTTTAGCATAAAAACAGGTCATCTAAATGTAATTTATACTCTCAAACAAAGAGAGTTTATTTTACTCATTGTTGTTCAAAACAAATAATGGAGCTAATTAAATCCCAGCAAATGGTAATAAAACTATAAAATTCGCTTTTAATGTTTTATTAAAAGCATGTATAAATACAAACGATATTAAAAATTAATTGGTTAATCTAAAAATAACGAGTCGGTTTCGAGAAAGAGAGAGATTACAAAATTAGAACAATTTAAAGCATCATCCGTTTAATTTAAAAGGAAAACAAACTTAGCGGCCTCTTCTACGTTAGGCAACTATAAATACAGCAGCGCACGGAACTCCGGGAAAGAACATTTTATTTATTTTTAAATGAATACGCGCGCGGAATCTCCTAGACAATTTACGGTCACTTGGTTTACGCGTGATTGAAGAAAAATGCTGTTCTTCGGCCATAGCATAGACTACGTGGGCTTTACAGCTTTTTTTCTTGAATATTAATTTGAATTTGTCATGTATTGTTAGGCTTTTGATGGTTGAGATCATTTATATTTTGGTGAAATTAATTAATATAAACTAACATCCCCGATTTAATGAAAAGGTTAAAATAGGAAGTTATGTTACCTAAATGCCTTGGGAGTTATGTATAATAAATAAGTTATTAATTCAGACACAAAATAAAACGCTTACAATTTTTAAGGGTGGCGTTGAAGGTGGTGAAAGTACCAAATGAAGAGCTTCTTTCACTTCCATTTTTCTTCTCTACACTTAAATCGCACAAAAAATTAAAGTTTTCTCTCAATAAATTCACATTCACTTCCTATTTTCTACTATTCCCGACTAAAGAGCTAGCCAGATCACGAATGAATTCTTTATTTTGAAGCTCCGTATTATTGTTCGGCGGCCAGGCATGTTCGAACGGGGTGTGTAGCGCTTCGCGGCCCGGATCCGGCCAATCGGAGTCGGGGGCTCGTCGGTTCGGGCCAATGGCAGCGCAGCGATCACGCGAGACGGCCGTGTTCTTATGCGTGATGTTCACGTGGACACCGGCTGATTACGGCAGCTACGAGCCGTGATGCTGACGTCACGGTAGCGTGGTGCCCGCGTGACGTCATAGCGAGGCGGGCAAGCCCGCGGATAGGTGTGTTTCGGACTTAGCTGGCGGCGATTCCCTGCTTTGTTGCCACGACAAATCGAATTTACTTAAATTCTGTATAGCAAACGAGCAGGAATGCTGCTAGAGAATAATTTTTTTCTCTAAATTTTAAGACGCTATAATATGAAGCTTTAATTCAATTAAAAATATATCGTATTTAAACTTTTTTATATTATTAAGATTTAGGATAAAGAAAATAGTTTAATATAAAGCAAAGTTTAGGACTTAGAAAAAAAATACGTCTTAGAGTCTAAAAACGATAAAAATAATAAAGTACGTGTTATAGAAGAAATTTTAATAATCGAAATTATTTAATTTTTGAAATTGATGATAAATTATTAATTTAATAAAATATTAATTTTAGTCAAACATTTACAACTCTAATATTAATCAAAACAGGATCTATTCTATAGATATAATAGAACAGAAAGAGAAAAAACTTTATAATTGTTTAATTTTTTTTTCCGGTAAAAGTGATGTCTTATTATGTAAATTAGAAAAAACAGGAATCTGTTCCATTAAAGCAAGCTTTTAGGAAGTGAATAAAATGAAAACTACATTTATTTAACTCGTTACTGTCTTTATTATAGAGTAAGTATAATAATGGTAATGGTGACTATACTTTATTCAATGGAAATATGCACCAAATTCAAACAAATATAAAAGGCATGAGTATAAACAGTATTACTACAGTAATATTGAACATTGGTTCAAAAATATTACATTAATATAATACAATATTACTGTAGGTATTACTGTCAACGTGCAAGCTTGTTTGAAGCTTGATGTATTTGTATGCGCTTGGTACATCTTGGCGTTGGAAAATGTATAGAAAATTATTAAGAAAAACTAGTACGTAATGGGGGATATCTTGATATACAGAGTGGTCGGAATTGTATTCAGGAAACTTTGGCAGCATAATCTGCAAATAAAATCAGTAAAAAAAATAGTATAAATTTATGTCCTAAAATGCTTCGTTTCAGAGATACAGAGTGTAGAAATTTCATTTTTATTTCGCTTTTTTCCAAATAATTTATGAAGAATGTATTGATTAATTCGTTTCCAAATATCTTGAGAACTATACTTGTGGCGAGTGTCAACAAGAGACCTTATTAAGTAAAAAACGTTGGAAATGTAAATTTTTCTCAGTAGTTTTATATAGATACAGACAAAAAGTATTACTCTTCAAATAACTTAAAAAATATGTAGGTGGCGCCCCCTATTAGTAAAAGTCAAATTGACATCTAAATCTAATTTTTCATGTCAAAAAACTCCCAAACGCCAATTTTCGTCCAAATATTGACGTCACTTCAGAAATTATTTGGAAAAAAATCGAAATAAAAATGAAACTTCTACACCCTGTATCTCCGAAACGAAGCATTTTAAAAACTTACAAGTTCATTTTTTTAGAAAGCCAATGCAACATTTCTGAGTTTCAAATAAAGATAAAAAACAGTAAAACATATAATAATAATATGTAAATTATTTTCTTGGATACATACATATATGGCAAATAATAACAGATTGTTTTATTAAAGATTTACGTTTTGGTTAATTCTAAAACTATCTTCAGATTATATGTGATATTACTTAAGTGATATTACATTATAAAAGAAAAAATGAAAATTATACCTTATAATCGAAAAAAAACGGCGTCAGCGATGGCTATGAAATGAAGATCGCTGTCATTTTATATGTAAAATTATATGGAGTATGTATCGATGGTTTTTTCCAAGCCAACTGGACGCCGTTTTTTTCGATCATACGGTATTACAAATTAATAATAGATTAACAGTCGAGAAAAAAAAAGAAAAAACTCTAGGTAAGTACTGGATAAATTTTAAAATGGCATATTTATTTTATCTTTGTTTAATATAAAAAAAACGAAATATCTACCTGGTTTACATAACCCTGTATAATTTGTGAAATAATAATGGACAAAAATGCAAGCGGTAAGAAAAATATTTACAAAAAATATGTACTTGTTTACATTTCTGGACCATTGTTCGTCATTTTTGTTATCATAATGGTGACCCTATCATAAAAACGTAGTTATTTCTATACCTGATGTGAAACTATAGGGAAAAAGTAATGTTTGTAAAATATTTTAGTCTTGAAAAAAAATAAGGAATGTTTGGTATTTTAAAATGTTTGGTAGCTTGTAATTTTTTCGACTTTCTCGATTGTTTATAGTTTATAATAAGCCTTAAAAATTGTTGTTTCATAATGGAATATCATTCTGGAATTCCTGTATGTTATTTTAGATTCTAAGGATGGTTTTAGAATAAAAAGAAACACATTTTTCATAAAAAAAAGCATTAAATTAACCAATGCCCAAGAAAATAATGTGTCTACTTCTTATGTACTTAATAATGTATCTACTCGTTATATTAATAACGAGGTTAGTAAGAACCTTTACGTAAATGATAAATATAAAAAATACAGATTTTCCAGGGTTTATAATTTACTAAATTATTATCTAAATAAGCGCCTTTCTACAACGCCACTGACGCCAAAATAGTAAATTTGACTTACCTGTGGAATGTTGTTCCAGGACTTAAATAGTCCAATTTCTTACAAATTTGGCACTGACGAACCATGTTTTATAGTTTTTAAATAAAAGTAATCAAAATAAACACTAAACCGACACTACACACTAAGAAAATCGAATCCAAAAAATACAAAATCAAAACATCCAATAAAAACAATAAAATAGCCATGGAGAAACTGTGACAACAAGGTTTTACGACACGTGCTTTACTCTACTATGGCTCTACTACGAGAGAATAAAGAATGAACAGGCGACCCGGCGATTGATGGGTGTTGCCAAATTGTAAAGAATTTGTCATTTTTAAATAGTCTCTCGACTTATAATTTAGTAGTATAGGGACTATTTAATACATCTTTCTACTATTAAACACTACTTTATTAAAATACAGTTTTAATATCTCAATATATGTGTATAACAACAAAAAAAATATTAATAATATTTTAGACGTGACAACATAGGCTGGAGGCGAAAGACTCAGACGGCCGAGGTCAGCTGCACCCAGGAGTAAACATGTTTACAAAAATTAATATTGGACCGCGCTTAAATGTAAATAGTGTAGTCTATATTTTATTCTAAGTCTATGGTTTGGTCACTTTACAGTAGGACAACGAAATACTACGTAATTAGATGAAATTAGACAGAAAAATTTTAGGTCCCTATTTTCATTAAACTTTTAGGGAAAATTAATATTTTTTATTAATACTGGCAACGTTGTAAAGAAACAAGCGTGGGAGAGGTCATTGGAAGTTTCCCATGGTTCCCCAACATTTTTTTTATTTCATTAAATATTGAACATCAAGAACTGACTAATAAAAATTAAAAAAACAAAATAGTGTTTTTTTAATTAATCAATATTTAACATAGATTTTGGTTAACAATATTCTAGAATTCTATAGAAATGATGTATAAATATTTGAATCATTTAGGTATACAGAATGGGCATAAACCATGCATAAACATTAGTAAAATTTGCACTGTTTTATTATTGTAGTATTAAGTGGTATGATCCTCAATGAAAACTATAAAATTTTCCTTTGATTTAACATTTAACTTATAGATAGTTTTAATTAAATTTGTTTAATTATAGTACACTTTATCTGGTTAATTGTTTTCTGGGCACAAATTAGTATAAAAATAATTTTATTTATTTATATTTTTTAAACAAATACTTAATTGGTTTCATTAAATATATATATATATATAGGTACGTATTTACAATTTTATTTGCGTAATAACATACATATTTACAAATAAAATAATTTTTAATTTACGCTTCTGTATACCGGGTGCGTTTCAAAAGTGGCTCACCCCTATAACTTTTTTATTTTTTCAGATAAAAAACGAGATTTGGTGTGTTAGTATATGATATAAATTAGGAATGATTGACGTATTCAATTGTAAAAAATGTCTATACCTACAAAAAAATCCTTATGGGTTTTTCGCCTATTTATTTATTTTTTTTATTTTTAACAGAACGTCAACGATTTCTTGTAGACGTATCCGTTTTAAAAAGTAAAGTGTTCACGAATAATTCAATTTAAATATTTTAATTAGTTTTTTTCTTGATTCTTTATATTTTTTTGCTTCCGACGACGGAAAGAGAAAACTTTCCGAAACGTTAAGCATTTTTTTCTTTGTTAGGCAAATTTTTATTACTGTAAACACAACTTCTGACAAGCAGCGTCCGTTTAGGTTTAACGCCAGAAGTGTTTACAAAAAATAACTATTTTATTTTGTAGATTTTTCTTGCAGTGCAGTGGCGAAAAACCCATAAGGATTTTTTTTGGATAGTATTCAATTGTTTTTGGCCACTTCCAGTTTCACCAGAAGTAACTAGAACTTTTAATTTTTAAATGGCACCCCCGGTATTTCTTTATACTTTATTCGATAGAAAATGACATTCTGAATAGAATGACATATCATATATGTCAACTTTTGACATTTTCGCTTAATAACAAAGCTTATTTTAAAATTCAATCTCGATGTGCCATGGTTATGTTAAAAAGACTAATTCTTAATCAAAGAGCCTTGGAAAAATAGATTTGATCGTCTAATGTTTTTAGTGTCTTATCCTGGCCATACTTAGAAAATGTTTAAATCATATTTTTAATAATATCTCAATGTTTTCCAATGGAACGAGGGTGGCTCATTAGCATATTTGGAAAAAGTATTTTTTACGAATAATTTCATACCACACACTTGGT